CAGGTTCAGGATTGGGGCTGGTTGCCAGAAAGATGAGTCATGAGTAAAGAGTTGGACGTATCAGCCTCACCCCTACCTCTGGGAGGGGAGACGAGACAGGCTGGAGATTGAGCTAGTCACGGGTGGCCAATGACTTAATCATGTCTATGTTATGAAAGCTCCATAAAACCCTCTAAATATTGGGTTTGGAGAGCTTCTGGTTTGGTGAACTCATTTGGTGCTGGGGAGGTGGCACTTCCAGGGACGGCATGGGAGCCCCGACCTCTCTGCCCCATGGTGTGCCCTGTGCATCTCTTGCATTTGGCTGTTTCCGTGTTCTCTTCTTTGTAATAAACCAGTAAGAGTAGGTAAGTGCCAAGCACTTTGCGTCTGTCACCTCTCTTACTTTTTCAGCAACACGGTGTGGCAGATAATGTCCTCATTTTGCCGGTGACAAAATGAGACTGATGCATTAACTTGCTCAAGGTCACGTAATAAGTGGAATTCAAGCTCTGACTTCGAAGCCTGTGCTTTTAACCAGCATGCTGCATACGCGGCCTCTTTATTTGTTAGGATTTTTGGTGTCTCTAGGGCCTGACACCAAGTTGACCATTGTGGCCTAGAGCTGTTTATAACGGAGCTTTTAGCGGCCCTGCTGAGAACAGAGCCAGCATGTCCGGACTGGCAGGGCAGGGGCTGTTCCTGCTGGGAGCTGCCCGCCACTCCCTGTGGCCCTTGGCTGATCTTGCTCATCCACTCCCTCCCTCATTCAGTAGTTCCTGAGTGCCGCCTCTGGGCGGAGGAGAAGGAGGCAGCCTTCCAGCCCAGGTGGGGCCTGCAGGTACACACAGGGAGCGGCAGCTGTGCACTGAGCTGGCTGTAGGCTGGGACAGTGTGGCTCCAGAGGTGGCGATAGAATGCTCTGGGACTGCAGAGGGAGCACGTGCTTGTGAAAGGGAGGAAGGGGCAGGCACCGCAGAGGAGGTGTACTTGAGTTGGACTTTGAGGGAGGAGTTGGATTTCCACAGTGGAACCGAGCAGCTGAGGCTTTCTCAGCAGCTGAAGATTACAGCCAGCCAGCCTCAAATGTTCATCTTTTCCTGAATTCCCTTTTTTAGGACAGTGCAGTAAGTTTTCAACAGAGAAAAAGCAGTCACCTCCATGTCATTCATGTTCTGCAAATCCTGTGTGTAGTTTTCAATGCTTAGCAGATGGGGGCAGCCTGGGCCATAAGAGAAGAGCCTGTGTGTCCAACTGCTGGGACATCAGTCAGGTGTGGCACAGGGCAGTGATCACTGCCTGCCCCTGAGGAACTCAGTGGTACTTTTATGTGGAGAGGACAAAGAAAGCTGTTGTACAGGGGGCAGGAGACATTTCACCTGCAGAGTAAGGCACAAAATACATAGTCTGTGCCCTGCATGAGAAACCTAGCAGAACTGTGTGCTGATTCCCACCCCGCTTCCCCTCCTGAGAGCGAACCGTCCATTGTACCATGGTGGAAGGCATTTCTGAAGCCTCTGCAATCGGAGTGATCTGTTACTTGCCCACTGAGCCTTAGGGGCAGCAACCAGGTGGTGTGGCTGAAACACAGGCTTTGGCCAGACCTGCTTGGGCATGTTGGTTCTGCCACTGATTGTGAATTACAGAACCTTGGAGAAGTCATTGTTTTTCTCTGTGCCTCTCATGTAAGATGGGGAACACTGTGGCCATTGCAGAAGAGCACACAGGTGGAGCGAGTATGAAGTGTTTTGTACGTGTATGGCATACGGTGAATGAAATGGCACTGATTGACATTATTGATAGTAATAACAGGTTTCATTCAGGAATAAAACTGGTAAAGTAGGCCTGGCGCGGTGACTCATGCCTGTAATCCCAGCACTTCGGGAGGCCGAGGCGGGCGGATCACGAGGTCAGTAGTTTGAGACCAGCCTGGCCAACATGGTGAAACCCCATCTTTACTAAAAATACAAAAATTAGCTGGGTGTGGTGGTGCACACCTGTAGTCCCAGCTACCTGGGAGGCCGAAGCAGGAGAATCGCTTGAACCTGGGAGGCGGAGGTTGCAGTGAGCTGAGATGGCGTCACTGCACTCCAGCCTAGGTGACAGAGTGAAACTCCATCTCAAAAAAAACCTGGTAAAGTATTTTACTCAGCCTAGGTACATGTGGTAGAGCCGAATGAAAGAGCTTAGAAAAAGATGACTTGAGAACTAGCCCATCAGAGGAATCAGGCGGGATGTGTTGTTACTGAGTAAGTGAAATCTGCACCTGCTTTCTCCCAGGCCACGTTGAGTTGTGTACAACAGAGAGCTCAGGTGTTGGGGGTAGTTTACATTTAGCCAAAGGTGCTGGTTGAAGAATGCATTGCTATTATGTGAGGAACACTGGGCTTTGAAAAAGCAGAACTGGATCTACGTTCTTGCCTGGTAACTCTTAACTGTCATCTAGTTTGTAAACGGGAATACAGTTCACTGAAAAATTCTTATGACAGTGGGGAAAGGATTGGGGTGTCTGCATTGCTTTATGTAATATAGGTCATATGAAAGAGCATTTAGGCTGGAGACTTTTCGTCTCTATAACTTTACTTTCACAGAACAATTCCATCATGATTTGAAGATTTTTGAGTCAAAACTACATTGTTCTGCTATGTGTTTTGGGGCAAATTTATACCTACAATTTGCTTAAATATTTCAGATGATACAAGAATTCTTATGTGTGGGGTAAAAAGCTGAAATTTGCATTCCCTCTTCTCTAGAAGTAACCATTGTGAATAGTTAAGTCTGTATTTCAGCTATTTTGTATATTATAAATACACAGTGAATATATGAGTGTATATATACATATATGTTACACAAACACATTTTTAGAGACGGAATATTGCTGTGTTGCCCACACTGGTCTCAAACTCCTGGGCTCACGTGGTCCTCTCGCCTCGGCCTTCCAAAGTTTTGGAATTACAGGCGTGAGCCACTGCGCCTGGCCTGCATGAGTATATTTACTAATTGCTAAGTTACTGTGTTCAGTACGTGTCTGTTGAACTCTTCCATGTGCCAAGCATTGTTCTGAATACCATTTTTTTTTTTTTTTTTTTTTTTTTTGAGATGGAGTCTCGCTGTGTCTCCCAGGCTGGAGTGCAGTGGTGTGATCTCGGCTCATTGCAAGCTCCGCCTCCCAGATTCACGCCATTCTCCCGCCTCAGCCTCCCAAGTAGCTGGGACTACAGGCGCCCGCCACCACGCCCAGCTAGTTTTTTGTATTTTTAGTAGAGACAGGGTTTCATCATGTTAGCCAGGATAGTCTCGATCTCCTGACCTCGTGATCCACCCGCCTCAGCCTCCCAAAGTGCTGGGATTACAGGCGAGCCACTGCGCCCGGCCCTGAATACCTTATATGCACTAATTCACTTAATTTTTAGAGCAGCTCTATTATTGTGACCCTTTTACAGTGAGGAAACGGAACCACAGAGAAGCTGGGGATGTCGTCTAACATCACACAGCCAGTGCTGTTGGAATTGAGGTTTGAACCCAGACAGCTGGCTTCAGATCTCTTAGCTGTTATAGATGGCACACCCAAACCTTAGGGCCGCCTCCCAAGCCTTGACTCCGATACGGGCTCGCCTGAGCTCTGCGAGAGCCATGTATGTGAGGTTTCTTTCCTCTTTCAGAGCACAAGTCTTGGAATTGTCCCAGACCCTGGTAGGACCTCTTGAGGACCAAAAACAGGGATTCTTCAAGCCTGCCCCAAGGCCAGATCTCTGATTTAGCTACTTGGAAGGTAGACATGGAAGAGAGTAATTTTGCCAGAACAAAAAGTCAGGATGGCTGGGCTGACTGGGCCAGACACGGTGGCTCACGCCTGTAATCCCAGCACTTTGGGAGGCCGAGGCAGGTGGATCACCTGAGGTCGGGAGTTCGAGAGCAGCCTGGCCAACAAGTTGAAACTAAACTCTCTACTAAAAATATAAAAATTAGCTGGGCGTGGTGGTGGGCGCCTATAATCCCAGGTAGAGGCTGAGGCAGGAGAATTGCTTGAACCCTGAAGGCGGAGGTGGCAGTGAGCTAAGATTGCGCCTCTGCACTCCAGCCTAGGTGACAGAGCGAGACTCCGTCTCAAAAAAAAAAAAAAAAAAAAAAAAAAGGAAGGGGAAGGGGAATGGCTGGGCTGACTCATCCTAGGGAAGAGGCCCTACAGCAGCCGTAGGACCTTGGCCACTTGGGTGGAAAAGGAAGGAAGGAAGAGCTTCACCCATGGTGGTGACCTGGACTGCAGAAACCACACTAAACAGTCCACATTCTGGAGCCTGGCCACCCCATTTGCTTCTCTTCTCCTTGGGTAGAGGGTGTGGGGAACTTTCTACCCTGGAGGCTAAGCAGCGCAGCTTCTAACCAGGGTAGACATTTGTCTGTCCCTGGGAATACAAACAGCATTCTCATAAGCAGCCCAAATACTCCTGAACGGCTTTTTGTAGGGCGGGGCGGGGCAGAGGGTCATTTTGACTCATAGGTACCTTTTCCACTTTCACTGCTGATAACTGTGTTACAGATTAAAGTTTTGTTTTTGATACTGAAGAGGGCTTAAGAGAGTGAGATATTATGGCACATCTAAGTCTGCTAAAATAGAACCGTGGGGTAGTGCGGAAAATCTCTTCTAAATTATGGATCATATATGGTGAACCTTAGAAGCCATGTGTACCTAAGTTGAAAAATCAAAACATGTCTTATATTTGGGTGACCCCGGTAAGTCTGGATACCACTGCGCCTTGTGTGAACACAGGATGCTGAGGTGTAGGGATCAACAGGCTTTTTCTGGACATCTTGCGCTTCTCCCTTGGCGTAAAGTGGGGCGGCAGTAGGAGCACACAGCTGTTGGGCCCCTAATATTTGTCAACTGTTTTACATATGGGATTCCATTTAATGCAGTCTTGGAGGTAAAATTATTTTACTGAAGCTGAAGATAGAGGTTTAGAGAAGTTAAGAAAATTGTTCAAGGTCACATCATTTCTTTTTTTTTTGGAGACAGAGTTTCGCTCTTGTTGCCCAGGCTGGAGTGCAATGGCGCGATCTCGGCGCACTGTAACCTCTGCTTCCCAGGAGTAATTTTTACCCAGTAAGAAATGTATCCTAGTTATTGTCTTCCTGAGCTCCTCTACCTTTTCCTCTTAAATTTGCAATTTCTGATGTTCCTACAGGGCATGGAATCTGATGGGTTGGTCCATAAATATTGACAAAACAGAAAGAAGAAAAACGAAAGAAACAAGCTTACCACTTCACCTTATGTGTGAACCTAAAACTCAGTCATACAATATTTCTCTTTACCGGCATAAGATGGAAAGAGAGAATTAAATAAGCCCTTTTAAAATTCTTAGGCACTCCTTATAATGTCTCAGGTGAGTCCCTGAGGATGAGCTGGAGTTGTTTGCAATACCTACCTCGTACTTTGCACCTTTAACACACACACACACTCCCAGACTCTCAGGCCTCAACCAGAACCTCAGTATTGGGTTTTATGGAGTCTGGCTTTTTAAGTTGCTCCAAAAACTGCCCACAGCATTTGCCTTGGTGGACGGCACTGGGAATATGAAACAGAAATGGAAAGGAAATTGAAAAGTTTTAATTTTGAAAAGTTTTAATTTTAATTAAAACCACATGTATATATTACCAATATAAGGTATTAATTGATTAGCTATCATTCAGTATCAGCTCAGAATGCTCTTCAGTTACTTCTGTGTAATTATATAGACATAATTGTGAAGAATTATTTTTTTAAAAAAGGAATACTGACTGAGAGTCTAAGTTAACCCAGTGGTGACACTCGGGGCTGGAACTACTAGATATTCACATAGAAAAACATGGACCTCAGCCCCCTCTCACACCACCTGCAAAAGGAATTCAAGATGTGTCATAGGCCCCCATAAAAGAGCCAGAACCATAAGGCTTCTAGAAAAAAAGAAGGAACTGTCCTTACAACTTAGGGTGGACACAGATTTCTTGGAGATGGTGCAAAAAACACTGGCTGGACGTGGTGGCTCACGCCTGTAATCCCAGCACTTTCGGAGGTGGAGCCAGGAAGATTGCTTTAGCCCAGAGGTGTGAGATTAGCCTGGGCAACAGAGACAAACCTCATCTCTAACAAAAAATAAAAGGTAGCTGGATGCAGTGGTGCATGCGACAATGGTCCCGGCTACTTGGGAGCCAGAGGCAGGAGGATCAGTTGAGCCCATGAGGCCAAGGCCGCAGTGAGCAGTGACTGTGCCACTGCACTCAATCAAGCCTGGGGGACAGAGTGAGATCTGTCAAAAATAAAACCAAAAAAGAAAAAGCCACTATTGGTAAAACAAAAAATTGATAAATTGGACTTCATTAAATTTTGAAATGTTTTGCTTACCAAATAATCCAACAAAATGGAATAGGTAAGCTACACACTGGGGGAAATATTTGCAGAAAACATATCTGAAGAAGCATCTTTAGAGAGCTTCTGAAAGTTAACAATAAAAAGATGAACAACCAAATCAAAAGCAGACATGAGACTTGAACGGCCATGTGACAAAAGAAGCTACACAAATGGCCAGCCAGCACGTGAAAGGTGCTCATGTTAGTGGTCACTGCTGGGCAAGGCAGGTTCAGCAGGTGAAACTCCATCAAGATAATTCACCACATCAACAGACTAGCTGGGACTACAGGTGCCTGCTACTATGCCTTGCTAATTTTTGTCTATTTTTTAGTAGAGACGGGGTTTCACCATGTTAGCCAGGATGGCCTCAATCTCCTGACCTTGTGATCCGCCCGCCTCAGCCTCCCAAAGTGCTGGGATTACAGGCGTAAGCCATCGCGCCAGCCGGATAATTTTTTTAAAGGAAAATAAGTGTTGACAAGAAATTGTGACTGTGATACATTGCTGGTAGAAATGCATAAAGTTGCAATCACTGTGAAAAACAGTTTGCAGTTGCTCCAAAGGTTAAACATAGAACTACCATTGGACCCAGGAATTCTACTACTAGATATATAACAAAAAGAATGGCAAACAGAACTCAAACAGATAGTTGGATTATTTCCATCTTTTGGCTCTTGTGGAATAGTGATGCTATAAATGTTAGTGTACAACTATCAATGAACAAATGAATGTATACAAACAAGGTGGTACATACATGCAATTGTACATCATCCATCTTTAAAAACAATTTTGAGACATGATATGATGTGGATGGACACTGAAAACATTATGCCTAATGAAATAAGCCAGAAACAAAAGGAATATATTGTATGATCCTACTAAAATCAAGTGCCTAGAATAATCAAATTCATACGCAGAGAAGATGGGATACAAATCACTATGGGCTGGTGCTAATCAGTCTTGTAAGGTGCAGTTGGAAACTGGGGACATGGCAGCACCCGGCCTTTTGGACATTGATGGGACCCTGACCACCCCGCAGCAGCAAATTACCAAAGAAATGGATGACTTCCTACAGAAAGTGAGGCAGAAGCCCAAAATCGGAGAGGTAGGCAGGCTGGACTTTGAGGAAGTGCAGGAGCAACTGGGAAATGATGTGGTTGAAAAATATGATTACACGTTTCCATAAAATGACTCGGTACCATACAAACATGGGAAATGCTCGTGTAAATGTCACGAGCATTCAAAGTTACCTGGGTGAGGTCCTAATCCAAGATTTAATCAACTACTGTCTGGGCTACAATGTAAAAATTAAACTCCTGAAGAAGAGGGGTACTTTCACTGAATTCTGAAATGGGATGTTAAACATGTCCCCTATTTGGAAGAAGCTGCAGCCAAGAGGAACGCATTGAGTTCTACGAAGTCAATAAAAAAGAAAATATAAGAGAAAAACTTGTAGCAGATCAAGAAAGGAGTTTGCAGGAAAGGGTCTCACGTTTTTCACAGGAGGCCAGATCAGCTTTGATGTCTTTCCTGATGGATGGGACAAGAGGTATTGCCTGCAACGTGTGAAAAATGATGGTTATAAGGCCATTTATTTCTTTGGAGACAAAATCATAGTAAGGTGGCAGAGACCTTGAGACCTTCACAGACCCCAGAACCGTGGGCTACTCCATGATGGTGCCTGAGGACACACACAGGATCTGTGAAGAGTTTGCCTAACGTGTGAGTGGGAGGGGCAGGGGTCCCGGCTGACTAGCCAGCAAGGGGCATTCGGTGGCCCAAGCCCAGGGCCCTCCCGCACATGCTAACCCCCCCCGCAGCCCAGCCAGGCTCTGCTCACTGTGTCAAGCACGTGTGGTCTTGACCTCCACCGCTGATATGCCATGCCTCCACCTCCAGTGCCAGAAGCTTCCAGAAGGGAGGAGAAAAGACTTGTCAAGAATTGCTTAGAGGAATACCTCCCATAAAAGATTTTCCTCACCCATCCGCAGCCCCCTAGTCTAATATACCCATGCCAATACATGCAATCACAGTACACGTGGTTTCCCCATCATTCCAGGGTGATACAGAAAGAAAAAATGTGCCTGGACCCTCCCTCTTTGTCGTTCTTGTGAAAACGTAAGCATTAGGCCAGGCGCGGTGGCTCAAGCCTGTAATCCCAGCACTTTGGGAGGCCGAGACGGGCGGATCACGAGGTCAGGAGATCGAGACCATCCTGGCTAACACAGTGAAACCCCATCTCTACTAAAAAAAATACAAAAAATAGCTGGGCGAAGTGGCGGGCGCCTGTAGTCCCTGCGACTCGGGAGGCTGAGCCAGGAGAATGGCGCAAACCCGGGAGGCGGAGATAGCAGTGAGCTGAGATCCGGCCACTGCACTCCACTCCAGCCTGGGCGACAGCGCGAGACTCTGTCTCAAAAAAAAAAAAAAAAAAAAAAAAAACGTAAGCATTAGTTTTAATGTCTGGACCTCTGTGTCAGCACCAAAAACAGAGATTTGGTGATGAGAAAGCAAGGACAGGCCATCTGCAGTGGTCTACCCCAGGAGAGTTCACAGACACCTCCTGGAACCAAGCTCCCACCTGCACGTTGCCTCGATGCAGGTGGTGGCTGTGAGCGGGGGCAGCGTGATGCCCAGTGAGTAGATGCACTCCTTCTGTTTTCCTGTTTGTGAAGCTGAGGCCTGCTGGACAGATGACTGGCAGAGTGACAGTAAACCCCGTGGAGTTTGCACCTCAGCTGGCCCTGACTCAGCCAGCTCTGTATTTACTACACTTGGAATAACCCGGCTGCTTTTCTGTATCCGTGATGGGAGGCAATGGGAACCAACAGCCCAGCTGGAGTTGGCACTGTCAAAACAGTCCTTCCGCTGGGGGCCGGTTCTCACCCAGGTCCAGCAAAACTAATGTTAGATGTCAGACTTCACCAAAAGGCCCTTCCGGTTGGCCCTGGCTGGGCTTCCCAGAGGCATTCCTCTCTAGTTCCTCAGGGACTGTGTGAGAACCTAGCTAGGGAAGAGGAACACGGGCTGCTCTCCTGTCAGTGCCTACCCAGCCTCTCACCCGGACTTTATGACTGAGGGGCCTGAGTGCAGCCGCAGCTGGGCCTGCGTCCCTCACTCTTTCCACCTTCTGCACATTCTTTGTGAAACTGGAAGGAGCTCACAGACCTCATCTAGAACACGGTGGAAGAGAACTTGCCTAGGAAACAGTTCACATGTCACTTTTCAGGATGTGGAAATGCTGGGACCCACAGACCCTACAGTGGTTGGTGCTGGGGCCATGTGGCCTCTGCTGGGCACTTGCTGACCTGCGTATGGGGCCAGGGGAAGCCCAGGCTTCCCTGCACTCCCACCTCCCAGCCCATAGCAAGGTGCTTTCATCACAGCTAAACCTGGTTCCCTCCCAACCTCCCAGCCACTTGGGCCTGTGACTGTCTGAGCCCCAGATGAAGTTGGCTGAAAGCAGGCAGTACCTCATCTCAGTGACTCCCAGAACACGGCCACCCACGGGCATCTTTCCTTGTTGAGTTTTGCAAATGATACTGTAATGACTTTTCAAAATGAAAAGTAGCACATTAAAGTGATTTTGTTGTTTCCTAATAAAAAAAGAAAAATAGAAATAATCAAAATTTCAGGTGTAGATAATAGTGTTGGTTATGCAACACTGTGAATATATTGAATGCCACTGAGTGCACCCTTTCGTTAAAAGGTTAAAATAAACATTGTGTTATGTATATTTTCCCAGAATAGAAAACATGCACAGCCAAGTCCAGATGCCAGTCTTGTTAGGTGCTTTCCTTTACCTTCAAGAGTTGGCCAAGGCTCATCCAATCCCTCAAGGCAGCTGGCAAGTCTATGACTGAAGTCTGCATTGGAAGAGAAATTAATGGAGGGAGGAGAAAACTTAAGAGTCCATACTACCCGCTCCCCAGGGCCAACAACTCTCTCTCCTGCACTTTATTGATCCAGCTCAGTATCTCCTGTGACCACCTCCTTTTTTCAACTGAAGACTTTGCACCTGAAGAGACTCCCAGGTCTTTTACCTTGGCCCTTGTCAAGGCTGATCCTCTCAGCTACTGTCCATTTAACCTCCATTCATGTCCATGCCACATCAGGCGGAATGAATCCACTGTGAGAGAGGAGCCATTGGTGCTACCCCAAATGTCCCTTTCTGGAGGAAGCCACCATTATGCTGTACCTCCAACATGTCCATAAACACCGAGGCATCTCATTCACGCAAGGTGTGTGTCCTCCGATGAAGTTTCACGCTCTAAACCCAGAAAACTTTTGAAATCCAAGTTTTGTTGATTCCCCTTAAGCTGTTCATTTGTCTACAAAACACTGCCCTGATTAAACTGCCAAAAATGTCATGCAGAATTTGTATGTTAATTCTGACATTTTGTTATTACAAGTGTTTTTCTCCCTTAAAATTTATGTCTTGGTTACTGATAAAAGTATACAACTACTAATGCTGTTTTCAGCTATGTTGCCAAGCACATTTATGTAAAAATGTATTCTTAATTATTGTGAGGATTTGACAAAGACAATAACAATAATAATCTCATTTGCTTTATACTAATCTTTACATGTGTTACTTTATTCATTTCTTACATGCTGGGGCTTACCATACAGTGTACAATGAAATTGGTACTATGCAGCATGGTAGGAATGTACATTGGCACAGCTAATTTAGAAGACAGCTTTCTTGTTTCTTAAAAAAAATTAAATTTGAACTTACCATTTGGTCCAGCAAATCCACACCCAGGAAATGCTCCAAGTGAACTGAAAGCATATTCTCCAAAGTCATTTGTACAGACATGTGTCTCTCAATGACAGTGACGTGTTCTGAGAAATGCATCATTAAGTGATGTAGTAATTACACAGACATCATAGAGTGTGCTTACATAAACCTAGATGGCAAAGGCCCCTACACGCCTAGACTGTATGATACAGCCAATTGCTCTGGGCTTCAAACTGTACAACGTGTAACTGTACTGAATACTGCAGGCACGGGTTACAACACGGTCTAAAATCTAAATATAGAAAAGCTACAACAAAATATGGTATACGATATAAAAATTAGCACATCTGTATAGGGCACTTTACCATGAACAGAACTTACAGGACATTGCTGCGTGATTCGGTGAGTGAATGGTGAGTGAACGTGAAGGCTTAGGACCTTACTGTACACTACTATAGACTTTATAAACATTGTATCTTTAGACTACCCTAAATTTATATGAATATATTTTTATTTATTCAACACTTAACTTTAGCCTACTGTAACATTTAAAATGTATAAACTTTAAAAATTTAAAAAACAACTCTTGTAATACCACTTATCTTAAAACATAAACATATTGTATAGCTGTGCAAATTTTAAAAATATTATTCTATATTTTTTCTACTTTAAAATTTAAGTTTTAAATTTTAAACTTTTTTTGTTAACAGCTGAGGCTCAGACACACACATCAGCCTAGACCTACACAGGATCAGGATCATCAAGGTCACTGTCTTCCGACTCCACATCTTGTCCCACTGGAAGGGGCAGAAACACACACGGAGCTGTCATCTCTTATGATAACAACACCTTGCGTACATCCTGAAAGACCTACTTGAGGCTGTTTTACAGATAAGTGGTTTTCTTTAACATGCAGATAGAATATATTCTCAAATAATTATAAAAAGTATAGTACAGTAAATACATAAACCAGGAACACAGTCATTTATTTTCACTACCAAGAATTATATACTCCACATAGTTGTATGTTCTATATAGTACTTTAACATAACTGGAAAACCAGTAGATTTCTTTCCATCAGCATCATCACTGATGCCAGTGTAATGTGTTACACTACACACTTGTGACAGCTACAAGACACTAGGTGATAGGACTTTTTAAGCTCTAGTATAATCCTATGAGACTGCCATCAGACACGCTATCCATCATTGACCAGAATGTTATTATATATTACATGACTGTATTATGAATGCTCAAAGCAGCATTATTCATAATACAAAAAACAGAAATAATTAAATGTCCATCAACTGATGAATGAATAAACACTGTTTATATATCCACACAATGGACTATGAATCTATGAAAAGGAAAACACATGACCGGCACATGCTAAAGTAGCAATTAACTTCAAAAATAGTATCTTAAATGAAAGAAGTCAGGCTCCCAATATAATATGTTGCATGATTCCATTTCTATTACACAGATGGGAAATTTATACAGACAGAGTATCAGAGCAGTATTGCTTAGGGCTGGAGATGGGAGTAGGGATGGACATGGGCAGGAGGGGACTTCAGTGAGAGAAATATTTTTAAGTGAGATCATGGTGATGGCTGCACACAGTGTCAATTTAATGAATCATCAATTATATACCTTTATAGTTGGGTGAACTTTATGATAGGTTCACACCCAATATGGTGTGTGCACCATGCAATAATGTTATGGAAATTCTTACGTGGTTTTTAACCAGCCAAGATATATGCTGTTTAAGCAACATTAATTCAGATGGTTGCGATAAGTCATTTAAAGTTTATAAGGTAGTTGTCCTATAAATATATGGCGAATGTTATTCCATGAGTTTCCTGTATCTATTGCAATAATCATATTTTTTCTCTATTAATCTCTTACGGTGGCTAATTTTATTTATTGCATTTACAATGTTAATCTACCATGTCATATTTTGAAATCATATTGGTCAGAATTTATGGTATTAAGTCCTCCTTGAATTTTTTTTTTTAGAACTTACTTCTAGGAATTTATATGAGGTACAGTCCATAAAGAATTGTTTTAATTCCTCATACATGTCTTCAATGGGTATAGAATTGGTCATACTTTTCTGCTTGGATTTCAACAAGAAACTTACCTCTTATCTCTTTGGCAGGTAGGCAGACGTGACTTTTCCTATTTTCTAAATGGAGACTGTGGGCAAATGCAGGTAAGTTCTTGGGGTATGTGAAGGGACCTCTCTTGCTCTCAAAAGACAACCTAAGAAGGAGGGCAGTGCCACAGCAGAACTGCTACTGATGCCACCTCAGCTAGATTCCAGAACAGATATTTACCTGTAGACAACTGAGGTGTAGGAAAACAGTGAAGCACCCAGCACCCAGCAGAGAAAGCAATGCCTGGGGACAGGGAGGCACTGATTGTGGCAAGGGGAAAAAACAGCTGCCAGAAGGCTGTTCACACAAGGGTCTCAGGCTGCACAGACACCCACACCTGCTGAGGGGGTCTGGTTTTCATAAAGGATATGGCTCAGCCAGGCCACCAACAAGCAGTTAATAAACAGTAATACGACACTTTCCAAAGACCTTACATGAGTAATGCGTTGATCCTCACAAATTTCCAAACAGGATGGTAGTACAATGCCTCCTGAACAGGGTGAGGAAACTGATCCACGAGGTCATGGAGCCTGCCCGTGGTCACATGGGATGGGTGCAGAGCTGGACGTTGGGCCTTCCGCCGGGACTGAGTGCCATCTTCTGAGCTCTGTCTACTGAGTGCCTCTGTCCTGTCTGCTGACCATGGGTCAGAGGTGCAGACTGCACCGGGGAGTAAAAATGTCACCTTCTCAGTGTTGGGAAAACTCCCTGCCAGAACTGCCAATGGCCCTTTCCAAGCAGTGGGCAAACTCAGACTAAAGAAGGAGGCGGCAGACCATGTGAGCCTGGCAGATTGCCAAAGATTCATTCAAGGAGAACCCACATCCTGGGCCATCCTGGGTGATGGGCAAGATAAGGTAGATCACTGCTTTTGCAACGCATCCCTGTCCAGCCTTTTCTACCATGAAAACAAAAGGGAACAGGGAAAAAAAGAAACAAAAGTCACTGTTGGGCTCGCTAACTCATCTGGCTACTTTCTTAATCTATTTGCTTTCTGCCTGAAAAGGTTGTTTGGGTTTCCTACAGTCTGGTTGACATTTCTAAGGTAAGGACAGTGTTCCAGGCAGCAGCAGTTAGCTTGGTCCTTAGGTCACTGTTTTGGTGAAGATTTGCAGGTGTATCTTCCACTGTAGTGAAGAACTGCTTTGGGTAGTGTCTGGAGAAATGTTTTAAAGGACATAGTTAAAACAGTGTGCTACAAACCAACACTTGAACGCCAACTGTTTTGTCCTACCCCTCTGTCACAGGGGAGGGGGCTGTGTTCATGGCAAAGGTCATCTCTCCGTCATGATTCTGGATCTCCTTCTGTTCTCCTGATTATCTGCCACTCAGTTATCCCCACTCTCTCCCACAACTTTAACCTCGGCTTCTCTATTTTAGGAGCCTCTTCTCTCAGGCTCAAGGCTCTCCTGTCCTCCACCGTTCCTCCCTCCACCCCAAACACCCTTCCAGCATGTGTCCCAGCTGATCTATCCTTTAGCCAAACTTCCTCAGAAGAGGCCTCACCCTGCCGTCCCTGCCCATCTCCTCTCTGATTCACTCATCAACTCCGTATCTGATTTCCAGTTTCTTTTCCTTGCCTGTTGTGACTTCCTGTGGATGTGGCCAAAAACCACATAGTCCTCCTGTTGTGCAGCGTCCCCTCAATCTTGAGATGTCCTCTCCTTCAGTTCCTACGTCACCACACATGCCTGGCTTGACTTTTCCCTCTAGTTCTTCCTTCCCTGTCTCCTGTGGACTCCTTGTCTGCTCTCCCCGCTTCAGTGTCCTCACAGGGGCTTCCTTCCCTTCTCAGCCGACACCATCACCTGGGGGATCATGCTCACCTGGCAACCTGGGGCCTCTCTATCTCTATGCTGGTCATGCCCATGTCTGAGCTGCAGACCCACAGGCACTTCCACTCGTGCATCCCATGCCCAGTACACACTTCTCCTGTCTCAAACGCAGCTGTTCAGCCCCACCTCACCCCTCAGACAAGTTCCTCCCTGTGGATCACCTTTTTCATTGATTAGCACTGTGTTGCCCAAATCAGAAACCTGGAAGTGATCTAGACTCCTCACACATCCAGTCAATCACTTACCACATCTATTGATTCTGTCTGCTAAATATACCTCGATAATATTTACTTACATATATTCATATGTCTCCTTCTCCACTGCATTTTTTATTGTGGTCCACATTTACCCTTCAGGTAACAACACCGGCCATTCTGGCCCTTCCAGTCAGAAGTGCCAAAACAACTGTTCTAAGATGCAAATCTGATCACATTACTACTCTGGGTGAAACCTTGCAATGGCTTCCTGTTGATTTTAGAATACTGCCTGGCCTCCTGTCTTCAGAGGTCCCCGTCACCAGCCCTCTGCAGACTTCTCACTCACACTCCATGCTCTGGTTGTGGGGATCACTTCAGTTCCTGGAGTTCCTTTTCTCTGTCCCACTGCTCCCCTCAATACGCTATCTGCCTTTCTTGGAACACCGGTCCCTCTTCCTTCCCCACCTCCCCAGGTAATTGGGTTTGTCTTTCAGGTCTTGCCTTACATGTCACTTTCTCCAGGAAGCTCCCGTGGCCTCTCAAAAATGTCACCTGGATGGCATTTCCACCCATTCTAATGCTGCTTATGCTCATGTGGATCATTCTGTTGGCACGCCTCTGTCTCACGGTGCAATGAAAGTTGTGTGGCAGCAAGGTCAGGCTTTCTTGTCTCTCATGAAAGCATATTCCTGCCTATAGCCCCAGCACCTACCAGTGTCTGGCTCCCAGGATGATCTCAATACATTTTGGTGGACAGAAAAAATGAAAGGACAGGGGGAAGAAAACAACCAGCCAAAGTCTAAGAGCCTATGGCTGGGCTACAGCAAAGTCTTGGCATGTTCTACAATGCACGTCGCCACATTTGCGGAAACACACAACTGCCTCTTCTGTTCAAAGATGACCCTTCTTATGGGAAACAAATGGAAGTTTCTCCCCATGTGCAGGTAAAGACACAAACACTGATGTCATAGCTGCCACCCTCTCCTCTCACTGCTGCCCATGCCCAGCTGGTGCTGAGGGGACATCTTAAACTGTTGTGACTCCATGGCCCCCAAAGCCCCGGAGCTCAGAGCTGCTCCTCAAGGAATGTCCTCCCCATTTCCTTCTCCCTGGCTCCTCTCCTTGCTGTGTCCACTGGTGCCTCCTCCTGTGGCTTCTCAAACATCATCCTCTGTGCCTCACTGTTTCGAACTTTGCTTTCCCCATAGAATGTTCTTTTCCACATCCCTGTCACTGGATGCTCAGGAGAAGGCTGATGGGGTAATTTTTTGTCAGGACAAATAAACTGTGTAAAACCTACCTGAAGCACACTAGCACTTCTGAAATGAAGGTTAAATATTTTGTAGCCCTGTGGAGTCAGATTCATGGTAAAAATATGTACATGTGTGTCCCATTTTTGCAGTTTTCAGAAATTTAATGTCCCATATAAGCCAATGTTCCAGGTACCTGAAGTTAAGCTCATAACTGCTGGACTCATTTTAACTATTTTAGTTAACATCCTTCAAAAACCTTTACATCATTTTCCTACCTTCTCAGACCATACGAAAACCTAGTTATATTTTTTCATGACAATGAAGAGTCATCTTAATAGTTATAAGTACATCATGATATAAAGATGTCATGCTTTCAAAGTTTACAAAGGCAGGACGGACTACATTATACAAGATCATTATGCTTTTACAACCACAGGACTGTCAGAAGATCATTTCTCACAGCACTATTTCTGCCCACTCTTCTCTAGATGGTCAAGTTTGTTGAAAATGTTGTTAAACACAAGAGTTATTGATTCACATCAGTAAGTTGCAGTAGGCAAGGCCTTTTGCTTTCCTGACCCTGAAGTCAGAGGCTGTGTTAGCCACACCCTTCTGGGGGCTACTTCTCAACTATGCTCTAGATGGCAGGCAGGAGAAGCTGGACAAGCAACTCCAATGTGTTATGTAGTATTTCCAAGTTCTGGCTCAGAAAGTTGAACTTTACTGAACTTTCAAATGTAGCAACTATTTTTGCTGTAAAGCCATAACAACTGAGTGTGCTCTGTTTTGTTTTTTTAAAAATTTCAGTGGGATAAAGTTGCACAGAGATTTTTAAGGTTCTGTGTTTAATTTTCAAACATAGATTTTAACTACTTTTTTGCAATTATGATTAGAATGCACTCTCAAACACGTTACAGAAAGTTTAGTCCATTGAGAGATCTCTCTTAGAGTAACTTAGAGGTTTACTCAGTTTGGGTGCATGCTTTGGAGGACACCTTGTCCTGCCATTTAGGTTTAATTTAAAATCCTGCTTAATTTTATTTTCTTTTTTGAGACGGAGTCTCGCTGTGTCACCCAGGCTGGAGTGCAGTAGCACAATCTCAGCTCACTGCAACCTCTGCCTCCTAGGTTGAAGTGATTCTTCTACCTCAGCCTTCCGAGTAGCTGGGATTACAGGCATGCACCACCATGCCCAGCCAATTTTTCTATTTTTAGTAGAGATACGGCTTCACCATGTTGGCCTGGCTGGTCTTGAACTCCTGACCTCAAGTGATTCATCTGCCTTGGCCTCCCAAAGTACAGGGGTTACAGGTATGAGCCACCGTGCCTGGCCTAAAATCCTGTTTAATTTTTAATTAAAGAGTATCCTGAGATTGAAAAGTGAATTATTGGGGGAGAATACAATTTGCAACTTCCTCACTATGTGTGCATAAGTTTCCTCCACGCTAGGCAAAAACAAATTCTATTTAGATGCTAATGAACTTTACTTGCTGCCCATTCCACTAATTTTGAATCACCATTTCAGGGAAATAAATTATTCTGACCATTTGACTTTACAATCTGAAAATCCTGGGGCCCCAGCCTGGTCATGCCTGCTTGCAGGGCAGCCTTGGGTCATAACTTCTGTGCTGGTGGACCCTGCCTTACTGGAAGACGGCTCCAGCACAGCGAAGCACCAGCCCACATACTCCCTCCCCAAACTGTAGCTTAGCCTGGGCCCACAGCAACTCCCCACGTCTCTTGGCTGGAGCACGTCTGTGGGGGCAGGTTTTGCTTTCCTTGTCCCACCCACACACGTGTGCATACACCCCACCCTGTTACTGCTGCACCAAGAGTGCAGTCCGCCCCCTCCCCCGGCAGGGGGAAAAAGCCTTGGTGGGCACAGAGCCAGCGAGCTCCACTCCCACCACCAGTGCCCTGCCCTTGTGCCAACACTGCCTTGGGAGTGAAACTAGGTACAGAGAACAGCAGATCGTCTCCTGCCCTGAGCTCCTGCTCATGCAATACAGAGAAGGCACAGACCTGCGCCTGCCAGTGCCCCCAAGGCAACACCATCACCAATGCAACCACATACACAGTTGCCAGCAGCAGCCCCCTGCCCTTCCCTGAGCTGTGTTGTCTCTGCCACTGTGGTGAATGCCCACAGGGGGAAGGCACGCTGGCACCCACTAGCACCCTGCTGCAGTTGATGAGTGTGCACCCCACTATGCTGCTGCTACTGGCACATGCAAATGAGGACAGATCGTGCTGTCACTGCACTATAAAACTCTTTGGCTGACACCACCCACTGGAGTGTAGTGACCAACATTCTGTGAGCACCTCAGACCCTCCCAGAACAGTGAATTCTTAACCTCAGGGAGCCAGAGAACAAAGTCTGGGCCCAATACAAGTTCCCCAGAGTTAACACAGCTAGTTCAGGAGTTGGGAGTTGAATATTGGCCCCATAAAATCTCCCAGAAATGAAGCCAGTGGGCTGAAGCCACCTTATACCACACTCAAACCCTTAAGGTTATCAATAAGGATAAAAGGAAAAAAAATGAAAGGTCAGCAGCCTCAAAGATTGAAGGAAAATAAGCCCATAAAGATGAGAAAGGACCAGTGAAAGAACCATGACAACTCAAAAAGTCAGAGTACCTTCTTTCCTCCAAATGACCTCATTACCTCTCCAGCAAGTGTTCTGGACTAGGCTGAAATAGCTGAAATGACAGAAACAGAACTCAGACTATGGATAGCAACGAAAACCATTGAGCTACAGGAGTATGTTGAAACCTAATCCAAGGACTCTAGGAATCACAATAAAACAATGCAGGAGCTGACAGACAAAATAGTCAGTATAGAAAAGAATGTAACTGACCTGATAGAGCTGAAAGGCACATTAAAAGAATTTCATAATGCAATCCCAAATATTAATAGCAGAATAGAACAAGTGGAGGAAAGTATCTCATAGCTTGAAGACTGGCTTCTGAAATAAGATAGACAAGAACAGAAAAAAACAAGAATAAAAACGAATGAACAAAACCTCTGAAAAAATAGGATTATGTAAGGATACCAAATCTATGACTCACTGGTGTCCCTGAAAGAGATGAAGAGAATGGAAGGAACTTGGAAAACATATTTCAGGATATTATCCATGAGAACTTCCCCAACCTAGCTAGAGAGGCCAACATTAAAATAAGGAAATGTAGAGAATGCCAGTCAAGATACCTCACAGGAAGACCAACCAAAATACACATAATTATCAGATATTCTCCAAGGTCGAAATGAAAGGAAAAATGTTAAAGGCAGCTAGAGAGAAAGGTCAGGTCACCTACAAAGGGAAACCCATCCGACTAATGATAGGCCTTTCAGCCAGAAGTCCTACAAGCCAAAGAGATGTGAAAGCCAATATTCAACTTTTTTTTTTTTTTTCTTTTTTTTGAGACGGAGTCTGGCTCTGTCGCCCGGGCTGGAGTGCAGTGGCCGGATCTCAGCTCACTGCAAGCTCCGCCTTCCGGGTTAACGCCATTCTCCTGCCTCAGCCTCCCGAGTAGCTGGGACTACAGGCACCCGCCATCTCACCCGGCTATTTTTTTGTATTAGTAGAGAAGGGGTTTCACCATGTTAGCCAGGATGGTCTTGATCTCCTGACCTCGTGATCCGCCCGTCTCGGCCTCCCAAAGTGCTGGGATTACAGGCTGGAGCCACCGCGCCTGGCCTCAGTATTCAACATTTTTAAAGAAAAATATTTCCAACCCAAAATTTTATACCCAGTCAAACTAAGCTTCATAAATAAAGGAGAAATAAGATCCTTTTCAGATAAGCAAATGCTGAGAGAATCTGTCACCACCAGACCTGCCTTACAAGAGCTCCTGACAAGAGCACTCAATATGAAAAGACTGTTACCAGCCACTACAAAACACACTGATGTACACAGTGATATTATAAAAAGCAACCACAAAAACAAGTTTGCAAAATAACCAGCTAACATCATGATAACAGGATTAAATTCACAAATATTAATACTAACCTTGAATATAAATGGGCTAAATGCCCTACTTAAAAGGCACAGAAGGGCAAGGTGGATAAAAAAGCAAGACCCATTGGCATGCTGTCTTCAAGAGACCCATTTCACATGCAGTGACACACATAGGTTCAAAATAAAGGGATGGAGAAAAATCGACCAAACAAATGGAAAACAGAAAAAAGCAGGGGTTACAATCTGAGTTTCAGGCAAAACAGACTTTAAACCAACATAGATCAAAAAGTACAAAAAGACATTGTCAGCAGGAGGTTCCAAGATGGCCGAATAGGAACAGCTCCAGTCTACAGCTCCCAGCGTGAGCAACAAAGAAGACAGGTGATTTCTGCATCTCCAACTGAGGTACTGGGTTAATCTCACTGGGGCTTGTCAGACAGTGGGTGCAGCCCACGGAGCATGAGCTGATGCAAGGTGGGGCATTGCATCACCCGGGAAGCACAAGGGGTTGGGGAATTCCCTTTCCTAGCCAAGGGAAGCCATGACAGACGGTACGTGGAAAATCGGGACACTCCCACCCTAATACTGTGCTTTTCCAACGGTCTTAGCATATGGCACACCAGGAGGTTATATCCCACGCCTGGCTCGGAGGCTCCCATGCCCACGGAGCCTCAGTCACTGCCAGCACAGCAGTCTGAGATCAAATTGTAAGGTGGCAGTGAGACTGGGGGAGGGG